AACGTTTGATCCACCCGACAACTCTTTTAATTGTATAACTAAGGAAAGTTCCTCAAGCAAAAGATTTATCGAAGACCAAAACAGAACTGCAGCAACGTCCCAACCACAACCTAAAAAGAAAAAAGGAGAGGACAATCCAACAAATTTAAGATATACTACTACGTGTAATCAGAATAACAGGAACCAAAATAAGTCAACATCACGTACAAATTGTACGAACAGTACAACGTCAGATCCACCCGACAATTCTTTTAAGAGTATAACTAAGGAAAGTTTCTTAAGCAAGAGATTTCCCGAAGATCAAAACAGAACTGTAGCAATGTCCCAACGACGACCCCAAAAGAAAAAAGGAGACGACAATACAACAAATATAAGAGATACTACTACCTGTAATCAAAATAACTGGAACCAAAATAAGTCAATATCACGTACAAACTATATAAACTGTACAACGTCTGATCCATCCGGCAACTCTTTTAAGAGTATAACTAAGGAAAGTTTCTTACGCAAAAGATTTCCCGAAGACCAAATCAGAACTGCAGCAACGTCCCAACCACGACCTCAAAAGAAAAAAGAAGACGACAATACAACAAATATAAGAGATACTACTACGTGTAATCAGAATAACTGGAACCAAAATAAGTCAACATCACGTACAAACTATATAAGCAGTACAACGTCTGATCCATCCGGCAACTCTTTTAAAAGTATAACTAAGGAAAGTTCCTTAAGCAAAAGATTCCCCGAAGACCAAATCAGAACTGCAGCAACGTCCCAACCACGACCTCAAAAGAAAAAAGGAGACGACAATACAACAAATATAAGAGATATTACTACGTGTAATCAGAATAACTGGAACCAAAATAAGTCAACATCACGTACAAACTATATAAGCAGTACAACGTCTGATCCATCCGGCAACTCTTTTAAAAGTATAACTAAGGAAAGTTCCTTAAGCAAAAGATTCCCCGAAGACCAAATCAGAACTGCAGCAACGTCCCAACCACGACCTCAAAAGAAAAAAGGAGACGACAATACAACAAATATAAGAGATACTACTACGTGTAATCAGAATAACTGGAACCAAAATAAGTCAACATCACGTACAAACTATATAAGCAGTACAACGTCTGATCCATCCGGCAACTCTTTTAAAAGTATAACTAAGGAAAGTTCCTTAAGCAAAAGATTCCCCGAAGACCAAATCAGAACTGCAGCAACGTCCCAACCACGACCTCAAAAGAAAAAAGGAGACGACAATACAACAAATATAAGAGATATTACTACGTGTAATCAGAATAACTGGAACCAAAATAAGTCAACATCACGTACAAACTATATAAGCAGTACAACGTCTGATCCATCCGGCAACTCTTTTAAAAGTATAACTAAGGAAAGTTCCTTAAGCAAAAGATTCCCCGAAGACCAAATCAGAACTGCAGCAACGTCCCAACCACGACCTCAAAAGAAAAAAGGAGACGACAATACAACAAATATAAGAGATACTACTACGTGTAATCAGAATAACTGGAACCAAAATAAGTCAACATCACGTACAAACTATATAAGCAGTACAACGTCTGATCCATCCGGCAACTCTTTTAAAAGTATAACTAAGGAAAGTTCCTTAAGCAAGAGATTCCCCGAAGACCAAATCAGAACTGCAGCAACGTCCCAACCACGACCTCAAAAGAAAAAAGGAGACGACAATACAACAAATATAAGAGATACTACTACGTGTAATCAGAATAACTGGTACCAAAATAAGTCAACATCACGTACAAACTATATAAGCAGTACAACGTCTGATCCATCCGGCAACTCTTTTAAAAGTATAACTAAGGAAAGTTCCTTAAGCAAGAGATTCCCCGAAGACCAAATCAGAACTGCAACAATGTCCCAACTACGACCTCAAAAGAAAAAAGAAGACGACAATACAACAAATATACGAGATACTAGTACGTGTAATCAGAATAACTGGAACCAAAATAAGTCAATATCACGTACAAACTATATAAACATTACAACGTCTGATCCATCCGGCAACTCTTTTAAGAGTATAACTAAGGAAAGTTACTTAAGCAAAAGATTCCCCGAAGACCAAATCAGAACTGCAGCAATGTCCCAACCACAACCTCAAAAGAAAAAAGGAGACGACAATACAACCAATAATAGAGATACTACTACGTGTAATCAGAATAATTGGAACCAAAATAAGTTAACATCACGTACCAACTATATAAACAGTATAACGTCTGATCCATCCGGCAACTCTGTTAAGAGTATAACTAAGGAAAGTTCCTCAAGCAAAAGATTTATCGAAGACCAAAACAGAACTGCAGCAACGTCCCAACCATCACCTAAAAAGAAAAAAAGAGCCAGTAAAAAAAATACCAGTAATACTACTATGAGTAATCAGAATAACGAGAACCAAACGGAATCAATGTCGTCAATAGTACTTAAAAGAAGTCCAAAAAAGGACGAAAACAAAATGAACGATGGCTATTTAAAGATGATGAACGATGTATTTTATACAGTTTTGAATAACCGGAATCTTTTTCATGTTATTGACCACAAAGAATTCGAGCTGTCAGTTATTTTACAATCTGCAAAAAAAGAATATCAGTACATTTGCTACAAATTATATACCAGAATGGTCGCGTGGCACAGTATTTTCAAAATCTGTAGTGATTATATGCCCCATTTGACAGATAATCAAGTTATTCAGATTTTCAATTTTTTAAAGGAAAATAAATTTGTTGATACAGGTGAGTACCAATATTTTAATTATTTGTGGGATTGGTTTTGGATCTAGCTATTCATGCAATCAACATGCCTCCTGATATATGATGTATTTCAATATACGGGATAGGTAAAAGTTTATGGTCGATATAGTAGAATTTAACAGGATATCTAACACATTATATAAAATCATATTTTCAGCGAATAGACAAAGATAACAATCATATTTCCCCTTGGTCTCCCCACCACATTCCTCATGTACGATTATTAGTGAACGCCAGACGATTATTTACGATCATCCAGCTTATACGTAAAAAACAGCGGTAGATTTGCCTTAGTACATATTTGAATTAAAACATTGAATTGATTCAAAAAATTGGATGATGATATTAAAAATGAAACACTAATTGACACAAATACTGGTACAAAATTTCTTAACTCCATGAAAACTTTACAGATTCGCATTTTTATTTAATGAAATTGTAACCTAATTTCCAATAAAACAAGATAATTTTGGCAACATCGCCATTCGTCCGTTCTCTTCAATGGTAAACTGCATACGAGACAGGCCTAACGCTGTGCTATGATTATACAAGAGAAGAACGGGTACAAATAATTTGTGGGCAATTCAATACAAGAAACGATTAATTTATTCATTATGGCTTTTGAAAATTCGCCAATACCTCTAGAAAAAACTGTATTGGCAATTATTCATCAATTTGAATAGTTTGGCTGTACTAATGGCAGATGTAAAAAAATGCTGCCCATCAGATCAACCTCGCGAAAAGAAAAAAAAGAACCAGAAATTAGAGAAATTCAACTTTGTGGATTGGCTGAAGCAACGCCGTGTTCAAGTAAACAAATTATATTGAATACAAAAGCAGTGAGGAATATTTTGAAAAGAAACAACTGCCATTGTTATAAGTACAGACAACTTAAGAAATTTTTCGTGATGATCAATTTAGACAGATGCAATTTTGTGAAATTATAATGGAGAGATGCCTTGCAAATAATAATATTTTGTTTACAGATGGGTCCTTTACAATTCACAATAAGCATTTGAGTGTGTCTGCCTACGCAGTATCCACAAAGGTTGAATGTTTGGACTGGAATTTTGGGAGACAATAGTATTGGTCCTTTTTTCATTGAAGGCAATTTAAACGCAGTCAAATATCTCCAATTACAGCAAAATCAAATTATTCCTGCACTTAAACGTCTTCAAATTACCTTCAACGAAATTTGGTTTCAGCAAGACGGCTGTCCTGCACATAATGAAAAAGCCGTTAGAGACTATTTAGCGTTAATTTTTGCTGAACGTGTCATTAGTACAGACGGTACAATAAAATGGCCCCTCGGTCACCCGACCTAGCTCCTCTGGATTTTTATTTTTGGGGATGCTAAAAACGAAATTGTACAGGCATGAATTTGAGTGAGCTACCAACTGAGAGAAACTGAAGGAAAAGATAATCCAACAGAGCCAAAACATATCGGCAGATGAACTCAACGCCATGAGTAATGCATTAAGTAATGCGATTTGGTTACTGTTCGTTACAATTTGGTGTTCTGTTTGAACATTTAATGGCCTAAAAATCTTATTTGGTTTAGAATTTCTAATTGTTTAAATTTTTAATTTAAACAGTAGTGTTGGGATTATTTTTTATTTGATTTCATTTTTATAGAACAAATTTTATACTTTTATACTAAAGGTATCTTTTTTTGTTTAATTTTTATAGAACTAAAATTGGTAAGTATTATTGGGGGTTGGGTTGAGGGAGCGTCGCAGAAAAATAGCAAGATTCCAAGGGCGTCACAGTACGAATAAGTTTGGGAAGTCCTGCTTTAGTCACATTTTGGCATTAGATTCCGACAGGACTTTTATTAGTTTCTATCGATGTTCTTCCGATTTATTCAGTACCACAATGTCGTCTGTATATCTTAGGTTATTGATCAATATTCTGTTGAAAATAACACACTCTGAACATTACTTTAGAGATTACGCTTCTTCTAAAAAGAAGCAGAGGCAGGAGGCATACCTGACATAGTTGGTATTGCCATTTGCAGTATGATGTGTCATTATGAGCCCTATCTCTTGTATTTGAATAATTGTGTCGTGCTTTATATAAATTGTCTTTGTCCTTCCAAATATCTTTCCGACAACACCGTCAACCCCAAAATTGCTTCCTCAATGCCTTTCCCTTTCGAAAAATATTAATAATGGATATTTATAAACATGGATAAAATACTCTTGCATTTTGCAGATTATACACAAGATAGTGTGGAATCACTGCTAGAACAACTGCCTACAAAAGATGTTAAAAATATTTGTTTAAACCTCAAAATTGAAGCCAACACTACCAAATATAAGATGATAGAATCTTTATTACATAGATGTAGACGGCAGCCCACCCTTCGCGGTATTAAGTCTACGAGTAATATTATCTTGGAAGAAATAATCAAGAAGATGGGGATGTATGCTGTAAGGATTAACGACTCATTTAGAAAACATATTAATCACGTTTACCTATTAGCAACATTCACTAATACAAGATTTCAAAACATTGAAGATTTCCTACAAAGGGATTTAAAACGCGATTTTCCAGATTTCGAACCTGAAAACTATAAAGTTTTCAGTGATAGAGAAGAATTTCTGAGGTAAGGGCTTCATTAATACATTGTCTTAATTTTAGGATCGAGCATTTCTCATTGAAACATGCATTACGTAATATTACATATTCATCATACCATCCGCCATATAAACGTCTCTAGTTTTTGTGTATGTACTTTCTAACGATATTTCAAATCTCCTCATTCAACATTTTCAATCAGTCTCGTACTTACCTTCTAACAGGAAACAAGTATCAAAGAAATAATTAGTGCAATGCATACCTTATCATCCTTATCACGTAGTAATTAATTCTACATTAGAAAACTTAAATACAACAACCGGAAAAAGTGTTCGTGTTGTGTTTAATGTTGAAGTAATTAATAAGTAATAAACTAATACTACAAATTTATAGGTATTAGTGGGGGAGCCAGGAACAAAATATACAGCCAGCGCCATGTTTCGTTCAATCGATTCCGAACACGTTAACACCACAGGTCCAGATATAATCACAACCATTCATTTATTAACATTATTACCCCCATAACTCTCTAAGCCAAACTATGTATGCCACAAACATCAAAAAGTTCTCTGATGCAGCATTCCATTGATTGCAACAATGAAGAGAGAAGGAAATAACCGATGATGAACTGCAATGGCACAGAGCCCTAACCCGGAAGAAAAAACGAAGTCTAGAATATCCAATAAAAAACTTAAGTCAAAAAACATTTGTTCAGAAAAAAAAACAAATCTTCATAAATGATTTCAAGCACTTAAGGAAGAGAACTTGGAAACCGAACAGACAAGCAACAAAAGTAATGGCACACATAATAAACCCCCACCAATATTTGTTCCCAGTGCACTAGATGTGAATCAGTTTGCAACCGTAATAAACTCTTGCTAAAGATGGCTATAGTTGTAAATATCCTTTTTGGGGCTGTAGATTGATGAAGCCACGTGGCAGACGACTACTTCAGGCAATTAATATAAATAAACTCACAAGTTATTCTACATGTGATCCTACATATTAACCAACAGACAGAAGAAAACTTCCAGATCTCCTTGATTTCTGTATAACCAAAGGTATAGCAGATAATCATCTAACAACTAAACCATTCATTGGCGTAACATCAGATCACTCGCCAGTATTTCTCATCCTGTTTTCTGAAATAATTTATTTACCTAGACCTCCTACATTTTATCCATCAAAAATTAATTTGACTTTATTTAAAGAAACCATTACTAATAACTTAAACATAAACTTATGTCTAAAGACAGTAAGTGATCTAGACACTGCTGTGGATCATCTCACTACATGTATACAGAAAGCGTGCTGGGAATCCACTCCCAATAATAAACCTTACAAGGAGTTCTATCCTGAGGCCGTTACACAAAAAATTGGAGAAAAGAGAAAACTTAGAAAGACATGACAAAACAATCGAACACCGACCAATAAAGCTGCATTTAACACAACAATTTTTTAAATACCACTACAAAGGAGAGATCTCATTTCCTTAAATTTCAAAAATATGATTTTGTAGGAGTTGGAATTATTAAAACATATAAAAAAACATATAAAAAGCCGACACTGGACTTCACAAACACGTTAAAAAATTGAAAAAATTTTTGTCATGGTACGGGTTTAAGACCCGACCATTGATTGATGTGAGGACGTAGACTGAATAGAACTAGTGAAATCAAATGTCGGTCCTTTTAAACGATTTTTCAAAAGTGACAGGTGACAAATGTCATATATAGGAAATAGAGATTGTTTTTTTAATTCTTACAAAATTATTTAGTAGTTTGGAATTACTACTAGTCATCAAAGACTTTCTAAAAATTAAGTTTTTAAAATTATATGTGTTCATCACATCATACAGAATGACATTAATTTGTAAATTCACTCAAGTCATTGCTCAAGGTCAATGTATGTTCAATCTGACAGCTATCCTTAAGGAACAAGGGCTCAAATTGTTCAACAACACTATAAAGAAGAAACCTGGTATTAATGTTATGTTATCTGATACTTAAGTGTATTAAGAATTGTATGTCTTGATGGAAAATTGTAAGAACTTTGCATAAAAAATTTTTTTAAGAATGTATTTTCATGTTTCAATTAAGAACAACTGTCAAATGAATTACAAAATGTTGTAAATTTTAATAAAGTTTAAAATTTGTTTAAAAAATATAAAAGTATGAAAATATATATAACAAGATTGCATGAGGTCACCCTTCTTCCTCTAAAGTCTCCCATAATAATTTAAAAAGAGGTTTATAGTTGCAATTGAGGTTGATTTGTGTGTTTAAGCAACAATCAGGGTTTATTTTCATTTCTTTGGATATCTCTAGATCTTCCAAGAGATTCATGAGTCTAAAGTTTTTATTGGGAATGTTGTGTAAAATTTTACTGTTTTCAGAAGGAGAAAAAGAATGATTATTAAATTTAATGTGACTTAAACACACAAATCAACCTCAATTGCAACTATAAACCTCTTTTTAAATTATTATGGGAGACTTTAGAGGAAGAAGGGTGACCTCATGCAATCTTGTTATATATTTTTCATACTTTTATATTTTTAAACAAATTTTAAACTTTATTAAAATTTACAACATTTTGTAATTCATTTGACAGTTGTTCTTAATTGAAACATGAAAATACATTCTTAAAAAATTTTTTATGCAAAGTTCTTACAATTTTCCATCAAGACATACAATTCTTAATACACTTAAGTATCAGATAACATAACATTAATACCAGGTTTCTTCTTTATAGTGTTGTTGAACAATTTGAGCCCTTGTTCCTTAAGGATAGCTGTCAGATTGAACATACATTGACCTTGAGCAATGACTTGAGTGAATTTACAAATTAATGTCATTCTGTATGATGTGATGAACACATATAATTTTAAAAACTTAATTTTTAGAAAGTCTTTGATGACTAGTAGTAATTCCAAACTACTAAATATTTTTGTAAGAATTAAAAAAACAATCTCTATTTCCTATATATGACATTTGTCACCTGTCACTTTTGAAAAATCGTTTAAAAGGACCGACATTTGATTTCACTAGTTCTATTCAGTCTACGTCCTCACATCAATCAATGGTCGGGTCTTAAACCCGTACCATGACAAAAATTTTTTCAATTTTTTAACGTGTTTGTGAAGTCCAGTGTCGGCTTTTTATATGTTTTTTATATGTTTTAATAATTCCAACTCCTACAAAATCATAATTTTGAAATTTAAGGAAATGAGATCTCTCCTTTGTAGTGGTATTTAAAAAATTGACGTAAGTTAAAAATTACAATCTTTACCAATTATTACTTATTAGAACATTTTATTGTAGCATAGCTCTGATGATGGCTTTGATCAACAAAAGACCTGAAAAAAATGCTAAGTGAAAAAATTATGTAAAAAATACATAACTGCAAAATACCTGAGACAGATCACCATTAGAAGCCATAAATTACACCCTTTAGAAGGCTACCAGAAAATAGTTACGACCACAACAACATATACCACCTATCAAAACGAGTAATGGACATTAGGCACGCACTGATGACGAAAAGGCAAATATATTTCTAAAACACTTTATCTTTACCCCATTTTTCTGTGAGTTACAACCAAAGGAAGAGGAAAATATTCATAGATGTTTGGACTGCCCATACCAAATCTCTGTCCTACCAGGTCACTGCCTATTAAACCTTTTAGAAAACCAGAAAATATATATTAACAATATATTAATCAACTTAATCCAAAACCTTCGTTTAGGAAAAAGTGTTATAGGACTTTTATAAAGGTGTTATATACTTTAGTGTATACAGGGTGCAGTCATTCAGTGGAACCCCAATTTTCTACATTTGTTCTTCTATTTTTCAATGTTTTCTAAAAATATTTTAAACAGGATAGGTGATGAGCAGCAACCTTGTTCAATACCTTTTATTATAAATCCTTTGCCTTATTTATCGGTTTGATTTTTGTTCTGTTTGTCTTAGTAAATTATTTTAATCGCTTTTGTTGGCTCTATATTTGTGTTGATTTTTACTATCGCTTCCCATAGTTTAGTCAGAACACCATCGTGGGCTTTCTTTAGGTCTACAAATAGAAGATGTAGTTTTTGATCATGTGGTTCTTGGTAATAAAAGTGGTCTACTGTTGATGTTCTTACTTTAATTGCCGCCTGCTCTTCTACCTCTTTATATTTGTCATTTTCTCATTTTCTATCTTAAATTTTAAAATTTTTCCTCCCTTGTGCTCGTATGTTTTGTGTTATTTCCTCTCTAAACTCTTTAATTAACTCATTAATAGATCATATTCGACGGGTTTGTTTCATTATCTCAAACAAACCATTGATAATTAACTTGTTGATTTTTTCTAAAAATTTTAGATATGCAGATGCATGTGAGCTCAAAAAAACTGTAGAAGCGACTAAAGCTCATGATACTTTACTACTACAAGAAATTGGCAAGAACGTTCATGAAACTTTAAAGACTTTGAAACGAACGTAAGTAAATGATAGTTTAAATTTTTAAAAACGAAATAGTACAATCTCTCACACTTGCACCTGTCTCCACACTAGTTGAGCTTTATCATAAATATTAAATCTTTATATTCTCAAGGGGAACTCATTTCTTATTAAGTGCCCAACACACAAATTGTCGAAGTATCATATGCTTTGTCAAGATGAATGAATACCAAATGAATGTTTGTTGTTTCATTCGTTTTTTTCATCGATTGTCTTACAATGAAAATAAACTGTATCTGTTGCTGATGTGCATTGAATAATTCCCTGCATTTTATATCACCATCATAAACTAAAGTGAACGTAGTTTATTAGAGTATAAGATATATTCCTTTATAACAGGAAGAGCAAATAGATGAAAATATTTTCATTAAATAGGTCACTCTGCAAATCCTCTTCATTCCAATTTTCATGATTCAGTTAGTTTTTTCTTGAGATATTTCTAATTGGCCGTTTATTTGCCACACCCTGTATATGTATGCAGCTCAGATGTTACACTATCTTCTTTTCCCTCTGTAGATAGATAGATTTAGCGAAGTGGCCTTTTGGCCTATTCCACTGTTACCTTTTCAGATCTATTGTGGTCCTCTAGTCCTAGATAACATTCTCCAGCCTGACCCTTTTTATAAAGTCTAGTAGCTTAGAGACTGTACCTTCCATGTAGCTATTTGCCGGTGCATTTTTTTCTCCTAATACAAAGAACATTTGCCAGACTGTCACACTGACATAACATGAGCTCTGCTGTTTCTTCTTCGAGGTGACAGAATCTGCACAGGTCATTATCTGATAATCCCATTAGCTTTAAGTGCCTATTCAGCTTACAGTGGTCTGTTAAAAGACCTACTATGACTTTGACTGTTTCCTGTCTTTGCTTATTAGGTCTGCCGTAAATGTTGTCAAATGTTCTGTAATGAACTGTTTCTCCTGTCTCTCTCCTGCAGAATTCTTCCACCATTTTAGAGATTTGTAAGCTACCCACTTCCTTGTAGCCGTTCTTGTTACTGACTTTGCAATGCCGCAGAAGTGTTCCGGTCCAATGAATGGCATTGATGAGCCTTGTCCGGCCATTTGATCTGCTTTTTCATTGCCTTTATGACCCTCGTGTCCCGATACCCAGGCTACCGTAACCTTGCTACGGTCTCCTAGTTTATTTCGGGCACACACACAATCCCATACTAACTAAGAATTGAGTGCCTTAAGCGGTGCCTGATTATCTGTGAAGATGGCAACTGAACAGAACGTTCTTTCCTGTCGTTCTATTTCTTCCACTCGCCGTGATATGTTGCTCCATCACAATATCGGCTTTTAGCTCCTCGATTAGCTGTGTGTTATAAACACCATGCAACTGGCTTATATGTCGCTGACTATGGATGCTATGCGCTATGGATTAATCTGCGCATGACTGATCTGACTTTGCCCTGTATAAAGATATGAAGAGGTGGTAGATTCAGCAGGACTTCCAACGATGCAGTAGGAGTTGTTTTTGTGGCTCCCGTAATACACAGGCATGCTAGCCTTTGTGTATTACGTAGCAGCCTAATTTTGGGGTTGTCTCCATTTCTTACCGCACATTCTTCTACATCTGCACAGGGACATAGTAACTTTCTGTGTGATTTTCAGAATGTGACTGTTTCCTGTAAGCCTATGATCAAAGAATTATAGTATTGTCTTTAATTATAACCTCTAATCAAAAAGTTTTTTGATTTTATGGACACAGATCTAGAGGTTATAATTAAAGACAATACTATAATTCTCACGACTGCGAATATTAAGTCTTACATACTTCAAACCCTTCATGGGTTGGAATATCTTCATTTGAACTGGGTTCTCCCCACGGGGTTTTGAAACCAAATAATTTGTTAGTTAATTCAAGTGGGATCTTAAAAGTAGGTGATTTTGGTTTAGCTAAACTGTATGGATCCCCAAATAGGATTAATACACATCAAGTTGTTACAAGGTGGTACAGAGCACCTAAGCTTCTTTTCGGAACTAAACAGTACAGTACCTATACATAATATATTTATTAATAAACAAAATGTATTTCTGTTTAATTTACGTAAAAATATATTTTTACATTTTTTTTTATTTTTAGTAACGACGAAATATATCTCAACGCACCACATCTAAAACGTTTTACTGCCGAGTCAGTATACTGTGGAATTTTAACCAATATTTGTGAAACATTAAAAACCAAATACGCCGACAAAGTCCAAGAATTTTTAAAATTTCTGATCGAAAATTTTCCACGGTCGCACAGAATCGGTACTTGGTATATACTTTTGTGTGACATATTTATTTCCCGCAATTTGTCAAAAGAAGCTGTGAATACTATTATAACAGCACTCAGTACTAAAAAAGAATATATTTTGGAGTATCAGATTTATGAATTTGCACATAAGGCGCAACGAATAAAAAAACGTAGAAGCGTTGATCAATATTATCATGATCAACTTGTGGGATTATTAGTTGATCCTATTCATTTAGAATACTTTCCCCAAGATGTTGTAGATTCCAAAGCAATTAGGATGTAAGTATATTAACATAAATATATATTCAGTAGTAAAACATAGTATTCATGTGTTTAAAAAAAAAGAACAAAATAATTTTCATTACTTAATAAAAAATTAAATATTTAAATATTAAATATTATTATTAATAATATTAAATAATTAAATAATTAAAGCTTTAAAATGAAATTTTAGCTATATAGACAAAAATGGCCGTTTTGTTGCGTATTTCTTTTTTCATTATTAACATTTTCTGAGTTCAATCTCTTTGAATTTAAACCAATTAAGTTTATTATTAAAGACATCCACTTTCCTATTGACGACTCTTTTTTCCAAATTACAAGTACCGAAAACGTGTTCCTTCTTCATATTGTGAACGATTAGAGGATTTTTTCCGGTACGAACTCATTACATTCATCTAGTCTAGCGGTTAATACATTCTTTGTTAGAATTTTAAGGCGAATTTAATGTCACTCAAATCTGCATCATTTGACAAAAAGCTATGGCCAGATGTAAGGAAACGTAGAGTAATTGTTTCAAGTAACGGATGCACATCAAAAATGGCATTTAACATCAAAACTATTTTAATGTTTCGGTTTTTCCCTCCGCAGCTGTCCGACCACAAAATTCAATGTTTACATGCCTCCATATATTTAGCTTCCAACACATGTCTAAATAAACAAGAGCCAACTTCTTTAGCCCCTCGGCCGGCATCGCCTTCTGACCTCACATAACAATTGCCTTTATATTTTGCTGTATGTATACCTAGATTATAAAGCCAAAGTTGGCGTTTGTAACAAACTACATTTGTAGGTATACGGTATATGCAGAGTTTTTCCATATCAAAACATAATACTTTAAGGTGTTCGTCAAATTTTGCACGCTGGAAGCTGTAAGTACATGGTACTTGTTTTTTCCCTTGCATAATGAGACTTATATTTTGGAAATTGTTCAACATGTTCTAATATTTCTTGTAATCGTTCTTCTGATATTTTATTTTTTCCGCCTGCTTTTCCTCTTTGAATAAGTTTTTAACTCCTATCCTTTTTTTATTTTAAGGCATTATCTATTCTTGCACTCTAAATTCTTAGGGATTGCAACAAAAATGTTTTTTTGAACCATGGGGCAAATTAAAGCATGTTGAGCATCATGCAAACTTACTTCATAAAAGTCATATTCTTTTTTAGCATTTTCAATGCCAACTTTCGATAGACAGTCGCATTTGTATAAATACTGACGAAACTCTGTTTTTTAGTTTTATTTCTCCTTTTTGTGTGAAATATGATTTATTTTGAATGTATTGTTTTTTGCGGATTTCTCGATTCTGACTAGGGAACTTTTTTGTCTTTCTTTTTGGACGGCCCTGATATTTCTTTTCTTTTACAGGGATTACCTGATATTACAGGGATTAGATTTTTAGAGATTTTACGCCATTCTTTTCCCATTCATTTTCTTCTTTATCAGATTGCTCCAGCCCTACTATATTGTTATCTTCATTAATATTTCTGTTGACAAAATTTAAATCTTGACGATATTCTTGCCGACCCGTCTGTCATGTCATGTTTATGAATATTCCTTCAAATTATTTCCTTCCTACAAATAAAGTTAATAAAAATTAAAAAATCTGATGTTTTTATACCTCAAAAATTAGGTTTGGTAATTTTAGATTAAATTCCACTTCCCAAAAGGGTCGTAAATCGCTGTAAATCCAAGGGGAAACAGCTGCTTGATGATTACTTTCTTCCTTTAAATAACAATAAGTAAAAATTAACAAAATTTTCTATTAATATCTGTTGCTGAGTTAAAAGTTATTTGCTGTAACGGTTCTAAGTTAGTATAAGTCTTAAGCGAACTTATTTCTTGACGAATAACTTCTTATAAATAAAGTAAATAAAGATAAACAAAACAAATGTAAAAATTTAAGTTTTTAATTTATACCTCAAAAATAATGTCTGTTCTTTTTAGAACAAAATTAGTGTGTTTTATTTCAAAAATGTCACGTAAGAATTTAAATAGTCGTTGTAAAGAGATGGTAATACTTTTGCAATAATTATCTATTTGATTTAAAATGGAGCCAGGATTTTTTTATACTTTGGCAACTATGTCAACTTCGATCTCTGACGTAGATAATGACGTAAGTCGTTATCTAAATTAGATGAAGTATACCTTCCCCTCATTTTTTATTTCTCGAGCACGCTTTAAAATTAGAGCAGTCCTCTGCAACATATTTATACACTTTTAAACACAACTTTTATAAAAAAAAACAACGCGACACTTCTTAATTATTGCTCAACAGACTGAACTGAATTAAAAAAAATTAACAAAAAATAATATGTCGCATAGCCTTATTATACTAAATCTTAGTCGCTTAGTCGGGTATTGTCAAATGTTTACACACACTTAGTCGCTATGGCGTTTAGCTAAAAGTAAAACATAAGCCAAAATACAGATTTCTAGGCAATTGATGGATTCGACCGTTACTTGATGGAAATTCATATAATAGCTTAAGGCCTTTATTTTGAATGTGAAGAATTTTAAATTTGTCATTAAAAGAATGATTATGATCTAGAAGTTGAAGTGCGTATGTCGAATCTGTTTTTCTATTCTTGAAAGCCCTTTTACGTTCTGCTATTCGTTTAACAAAGTTTCTACCAGTTTGACCGATGTAAGTTTTTGGGCAGTCGCCACATTGAAGTTTGTACACACCACTATTTAAGTGTTTTTTATTTTGGCTCTTGTTATTTTTAATATATTTGCCTAGGTTGTTATTTGTTCGGAAAGCTGGTGTTATTCCTTTCTTTTTTATGTGTTTGGCAGTTTTTGTTGTTATTATATATTTGAACAATTAATAAAATGTTAAATCAAAAACTACACAAGAAATCCCTGAAATTAGTATTTCTACCACCAGAGAAAAAACCCAATACTTTCTGCTCGATTACATATACAGGCAAAATAACAACAAAAATTGTCAAACACATAAAAAAGAAAGGAATAACACCAGCTTTCCGAACAAATAACAACCTAGGCAAATATATTAAAAATAACAAGAGCCAAAATAAAAAACACTTAAATAGTGGTGTGTACAAACTTCAATGTGGCGACTGCCCAAAAACTTACATCAGTCAAACTGGTAGAAACTTTGATAAATGAATAGCAGAACATAAAAAGGCTTTCAAGAATAGAAAAACAGATTCGACATACGCACTTCACCTTCTAGATCATAATCATTCTTTTAATCACAAATTTAAAATTCTTCACATTCAAAATAAAGGCCTTAAGCTATCTTTATTAGAATCTATGGAAATCAACAAATTAAAAAACACAGATATAATTCTGAATGACCAACTTGAGACAAACAGTTCTCTCCTCCTCAACCTATTTCATTAGACACTATAAATTTGTAAACCCAAGCCAAAATAAATCACTTGAGAAAGGCAATCAGCCGAAACAGCTGTAGTGATAAGATTTAAAATAAATTTTGTGGAAGTTTGAAAACAAAGTTTTCAGTGTTTTATTGTTACAGATTTCTAGGCTTTAGTGATTTTTCCCCAATTAGGTAACGTCATTACGTGATGGATGGCAGCATTATTTCAATAAACTTGAAATTGGCGCTCAGTCGAGTTATGCATAACGCGGTCAAAATATCGTATTGCTTTTCGCATGTAAAAAATTGAGCACCAATATTTACATGTGTATAAAATCTTAACGTAGTTTTACAATCATAAATAGTTCTTTTAAGGAATTAGTTTTAGTAATTTTTGCAAAAATTTCAAAAACGGAAGATAATAATAAACGTAATATTTTGATTCATTAATGTAATGTTTTAGTGACCAACCTGGGAGAAAGCGACTCTATGAAATACACAATTCAGATGGTAGTAAAACCTATAAAACTGTAGAACAAGTTGCACAAGACTATTATGTTGAAACATGTGGTTATACCGATGGCATACATTGTGAAGGCAATGTTATAATGAATTCGTTCACGCTTTTCTTCTGGGAAATTATTTATAGCCAAAATCCGATCATCCCGGGTACTTTTGTATCTAAATATCAAGAAGTACCCCTTGATATGTATACCACTGATTTCTACAAAAATCGGAAACAACTAATTGACCAAAGATTGAAGGATATAGCTGAAGGTTGGACATATAAAGAACATATTCAAAACGCTACAGAGTACTGGTATAAATATTCACACTTATCAGGATTGTGTGGTCCAATATGTGAGACTCTAGATATCAAATTCCTTAAAATAATTGTGGATTGCATCGGAAGAAAAATACTCTCTAAAATTTATGAAAGACTGGTTAAAGATATACATCAGTACCAAAGTGGAATGCCAGATTTGTTTTTATGGAATGTAGACGAAAAAAAGGTATGTATATATCAATAAGTATTTTTTTACTTGTAGTATATTCAACCAACTTCTCTAAACGATTAATGGAATTCGCAGAAAACCTTTCGTTGTAGTTAAAGGCACGGTAAACTGCACTGGAGTTTTTCACAATCTTTTCAATTACTTACTTTGTTTAGAATATTTGTGCCTGTATTATCAGTTAGAGTTAATTTGTATTAAATGAGGAGCAAAAATTTAAATGGAATTTTAAATATTATTGTTTATTTGGCTAATATTGAATGTATAAATATAATAGTTAACCTGCTGTACAGTTATTTTGTAAATAACATTATAATAGTGTACTTACTGATTATTTAAATTTATAAATCATCATCATCGTCACTAAATTCACTACAGCTATCATTATGTAAATCTATAATCACTTACACTAATTTTATTTTCCCGGATCCACCACTCTTCTATTAATTTTTCACATTTATTCACAGTTTTGGCCCATATTTATGGAGTTGCAGTTTTAAGAGCTTCTTGCCACATTTCCCTAACTACATCGTCACTGTATCTACTGCATCCAACGTGATTGTCATAATACGTTTTACATGTATCCCAGATGTGTTCGATGGGATTGAACTGGAAGTGATATGGCGGTAACCGTAGTACTTGATGTCCATTACTTGTTACAATTTGGTCAACTATATAAACTGTTGGTTTTTCATTACGTTTTGAAATTTCCAGTAACTCTGATTTGAAGGCGTATTCCGGAAAATTGATATTATTTTTCTTCTTCTTCCTTTGCCCTATCCGTTTCGGACGTTGGCTATTAACAAGGCTATTTTGACTTTGTTTACGGCACCTCTGAACAGTTCGGTCGATGTTAGTCCGAACCATTGTCGCAGGTTATGCATCTATGAGTGTCGTCTTCTTCCCGGTCCCCTCCTACTGTCGATTCTTCCTTGGACTATTAACTGTAGCAGCCGGTACTTAGTATGCCTCATGACATGTCCGAAGTACTCAAGCTTCCGTTTCTTTACGGTGAAGATTATTTCTTTGCTTTTGCCTATTCTCTGCATTACTTCCACGTTAGTGATGTGGTCTGTCCAGGATATCCGAAGAATACGGCGATATATCCACAGCTCAAAGGATTCTAGTTTCTTCAGGGTGGCTTTTGTTGTGGTCCATGCGTCTGCTCCATAGAACAAGACCGGGAAGACATAACACTTGACCAGTCTTAATTTTAGTTTCATTGAGATTTTGCTTGTGAACCACTTTTTCATATTCTTGAACGCATTTCGCGCTTTTTCAATTCGTGATCTTATTTCTGTTGAGAAAAATTTCCGAATGATAGGTGCATTATCTAAAACAATAACTGATAATTCACTCAGACTAGTTAACAGTTTCTCCTCAAGCCATTTAACAAACATATCTGCATTCATGTTTTCATGGTAATCAGCAGATTTTGATTTTGAAGAAAAAATCAAATCTGTGTTTTCTATAAAGCCTTGTTTTTCTCCTGCATGAAGAATGATGTGTCTTTTGCCTTCGCTATCTGTACGTTTTATTGATTTCACATATTATTGATTTGTAATTCCACCCTTTGCAAATATCCATGTCTCATCTAAGTATACGAATGTTGCATTTTCAGATTTAAGTCTAGTATATTCTCTCAAAAATTTAATTCTTTTGCGAACCACACTACTTCGTTCGCGTAAAAGTAACCTATTATTTTCTTTTTTGAATTTTAATCCTAATTTTCTCAACACTTTCCAAAGGCTAGTCCTCTTAATTTCAGAAACTTATCTTTCTCTTATTTCGTCTAGTGAAGTATCTAAACTGACATGTTGATTGTTTTCACGCATTCGATACAAAATATTGCGAATTTCAAAATTTTTCTCCATCAGTAAGTCAATGCTCCTAGAAGGTTAACGAGTTGTTTTCTTGTCTTCATGATACTCAGTCACAGTAAGATCTTCTTGAGAATCGCTGAAAGTCTTCATGACAGTTTTTAGCTTACTTTCACTTATCCCGAGTGTGTCACAAAACGCATTGATTTATACATAATAATGACTTTAAAGGTCCAGTATTGTCTCTTTCCATGGTAAAGTATTTATGCACATTTGCGATTCATCAATATCCAACTTACGTCTAGGCATGATGGTCACTTGAAACTACAAATTACAATATACTGAGTTTAGATCAATATAACAGAAACATTCTAACTGTTATCCTTGAGAGGTAAAATATAACTGCGTACAATAGTACATTGTTTACCGGGTAGGAAAAGCTTAACATTCCTGGACGACTGTGAAGATTGCTAAGTCGAGGCGCAAGCCGAGACTTAGCAACACAGAGTCCAGGAATGTGGCTTTTCCTACGAGGTAAACATACTATTTTTCCGCAAATCGTTTAAAATTCGACAGATATTGATTGATTTAAAAAAAACGCGATAATTTTATTCCCAAATAAATGGTGCTTTGAAATTCCTAATAAAATTACTTGGGTTACTATGGAAACGTATTGAGGTTGAATTGTCAAACTTGACGCTTATAAATTTAATTGCTGGTGTTCTCGAAAGTAAAATGATAAGTGATGATGAAATTTCCATTCCTGGGACTCCTCCAGAGCTGGTTGAGGCAGTGAATACTGCTTCATTAGAATTATTGCCAAAGAAATCAAGAGAAAAGTACGAAAATGCATACAGACGTTTTATGGATTATCGCATGAGTAAAAATACGAGTTCTTTCTCAGAAAATGTTGTAATGGCATACTTCCTAGACTTTGTTTAAAGATGAAATCTTCAACATTATGGGCCAATTATTCAATGCTGAAGTCAACCCTTGCACTTAAACACAATGTAGATATATCTACATACTCAAAACTTCGTTCTTTATTGAAACGGCAAGCTCAATGTTATAGGGCAAAGAAATCTAAGATTTTAACGAAGGAAGAAATTGAAAAATTTATCCAGGAAGCTCCAGATAAAGAAAATTTAATGATTAAGGTAATTTACAAGGTTTTAATTTCTATTTAGATTATAGCTTTATTTATTTTTTAGGTGGCTGTAATATTTGGTATTTCTGGGGCCTGTAGAATGGATGAGTTAGTCCGAATGACTGTACACGATATAGAAGACTTAGAATCTAAGCTTTTAATCAGCATACCTGATTCGAAAACCAACAAACCAAGATCATTTGTAATTAATCAGATCTACTTGAATGTTTATCGAAAGTATGTTTCGTTAAGACCAGAAAATATGAACAGTGACCGATTTTTCTTTAAATATCAAAGCGGAAAGGGTTGTAGACAAGTGGTAGGAATTCATCAATTTAGAAAAATGCCCAAAATAATTGCTACTTATTTGAACTTGGTAAATCCGACAGAATATACTGGTCACTGCTTTCGTGCGGTCTTCTGCAACAATATTGGTTGACTCTGGTGCCGACATAACTAGTTTAAAGAGGCATGGCGGATGGAAGTCATCAAACGTTGCTGAAGGATATATCGAAGAATCGCTTAACAATAAGGTTGAGGTGGCAAATAAAATTTTCACAGTACAAAATATTCAACAAAATGACACTTCCACCCTGCATGTTGTCCAAAATGTTTCTCATAGTTCTAAGAGTGTTCCTCCAATGTTCAATAATTGTACTAACTGTCAATATAACTGTAAATATAACAAATTGATCTTAAAAATGTATTCAGCAATGACTTGATGTTTTCAAAATATAAATTAATTCCTTATAAGCAATGTGTTTTCTATCATTTATGTAGAACACTAACAGGAAATATCATTTCCTTACAGTAAGGAAATGACATTTCCTTACAGTAAGGAAGTCCTGACTTTTTCTTCAAGAAATTTTGACAGGAATGTCAAAATTTCCTGGCGATTTGCGGAAAAGATTCTAAACACATTAAGCAAATTTGACTAATGATCATAAAGAATGTCGATTGTAATTTAATTATGTTTGATAAAAAGTTTAGAAATGGTTGGAAACCGTACATAAACAGAGTAAAATGTTTCCCACAATTATTTTATTTTTAGTAGAAGTATTTTCTTTTGAAAATAAAAGTTAAATATATTTACCAAAACCATAACTTTAACCTTCAATCGCAGACGTCTCAAAAACGGTACACTCTAACAGACATGTGGTCAATCTAACCACCACTGTTTAAATTGACAAAATGTTCTAATTTCCTCCGAAGTATTTTTTAACAAAAATTAAAAGTGATATTTTAGTACCTTGTATATCTACTTTGCATACAAATTATCCTTAGCACGGTAGTATTTCTTTCAAAAAACAATTATTAAACAAGTAGTTGTTTATACAAGAATACTATTTATTAAAAAAATGTAACAAAATATGCAAAACTATGAACAACGCGTTAATGACACTTGTATTTATATTATACCTAAAATTTAGCAAAGTGTTAAACTGTTAATCGTTTAGAGGTGTAAGTTGGTTGAATTTACTGTATGTAACAGCACAATGTCAGAGTTATAATAACTTGATCTCCCTGTGACAAAAGCTGTAAACTATTTACATCTCATTATCGCTTCGGCAAAAAGCCGAAACTTAATCGATTTGGCTTATTTTGGTTTTGAAATAATTATTTGAAGTCCTATGAAGGTCTAATAGATGAGAAAATATGATGAACTTAAAGGAGAATAGTAGAAACACCGGTTTTATTTTCCCATAACAACAGTTACAGGAAACCCTTAGGGCGAGCGCCCACCAAAGTGGCGTGGCAGTGGCAAGTAGCAAGTAGCACGCGTCTAGCATAATGTAACCAATGAAAACGAATGATTCAGTTTACACCAAAATGACAGTAACGTTATTCATTCTAATCATTCGTTAGGATTGGTTACATTATGCTAGACGCGTGCTACTTGCTACTTGCCACTGCCACGCCACTTTGGTGGGCGCTCTCACTTATACAAAATGTTTTATAAGACTCTACCTCTATTATAGTGGTAGTTCATTTAAACATAAAGTGACGTTTAACAAACTAACTTCACGGCTATTTACTTTTTTCATTTAGCATAAACTCGTGAAAATTTATGAAATTTTAACGAAAATTTTTATTTATTATTATTGTAATTTATTATATTTTACAGTTACATTTAGTAGTCAAGCTGCTATTAGACGTTCATAGCAAACCAAATGCAATAGGCAACATTAAAAAAGAAGGTTAATGGTTGCAGTGATGCAAACAAGTTTAGTTATTATCTGGGATAAATGTACTTTGGCACATAAAGATTCACTCGAAGCATTACATAGAAGTGTGCAAGATTTAAACGGCAAAGACAAACTATTCGGTGATGCTTTATTACTACTGTCTGGTGACTTCCGGCAGACATTACCGGTTATTCATTTTTTACATATTCGGATGAGATTCATTGATGAGATGAGGCGGATTTCATGATACTTACTTAACTCTGAAGATCATTTCAGTCATATATATTTCAATTTCATCAATCGTTAATATTTTAACTTTTTTAAGGCAGCATTTTTATAATTTGAATGTAATTTTCAGGCCAAATTTGTTGAGGTTAAAGGGGAAAAAGAAAGACTCTCGATGAAGCAGCAATTGTGGTTGAAGTATTTAGTGGAGATTGGAGCAAACGTAGCAGTTTGTCACGTACATTGTAAGTATTGTATTATAGCATCTTACTTAGTTTGTAAAAATGTTAGTTTTGACAGAAAAAAAAGTTAATTTTTGAATAATTTTCGAACCAAAATAATTAGGGATATGTAGTTTTAACGTTTCTAATTTTCATATAATAAATGATGGAAAATTTAAAAATATACAGAATGCATCTACGAATAATGAGTATCTAGATTATGTGACCACAACGTACTGGTAGTGAGCACGAACAAAATTATTCAGATGATCGAGAAATATAATGTACAGTTACAATAATATACACCGTGATGACTGGAAAAAATTTCGTAAAAATCTAATCCAAGTTTGCCACATTTTAATATGGGTTTTGCATTCTTACAGTAGGATGAGAAGTGACCCCAACTTTTTTCCAAATAAAATATCATCTATTTTATGCCCCACTATATTGATAAGATTTAAATGGGTGTGCTACCATTTTTATCGCATCAAGACACTAATTATACATACTACAGCAAAATATTCTTAAACATAATAAAAGAGACAAAATATTTTTTACTACAGGAAAATGCGGATTATATCCAGGGAGGGGCACTAGGGAACATATATTAAACCTATGACAGATTATAGAAAGAAAATTTAACATCGCAACATATATTTGCTTCACTTATTTTAGTAAAACCTTTGATCTAGTGAACTGTTAGAAGATGTATAGATTCTATCTGAAATGAGAGTGCTGCGTCAGTCGTCTTATATAAGAGATACAAATTATGTAGAATAAAAACTATTCCAGAGTTAGAGTATATGGAGAACTAACCGCAAGTTTCAGAGTCACCAAAAGGTGTGAGATAAGGATATATACTGAGTCCCAGTTTGTTCAATATATTCCTGTTTGGGGAATGGAAAATGCGGAGAGCCATTTAAAGATGGAACGGCAGCATTAGTATGGACTGAAGAAAGATATGTAACTTTAGATATGCAGATGATAAAATATTAGAAAAGTTTGGAAGAATCCATAGAATGGAAGATTGTGCAAGTGATGGATTAAATGGAGAAAAAACAGGGATCATAATAATAGACAAACCTAACAGCAGTCGTCGCCTATAATAAATTATTAATATCACGTCGAAAACTAATTTTGTATACTTAAGGTGCTTGGGAATGAAAATCGGAGGAGGGATGCTCTGAAGAAATAAAGTGATTCTAAAAATGGGATGGCTAAATTACGCTAAATTAATGAAAATTAAAAGCAATTAAGCTTTTCATCCTTTTTGATGTCTCCTTCAAGGCTTACTACGTCTCAGTCTCCCGAGACCCCAGACACTACTACACTGATCACGAATCAATGCATTACTGCTACTGGGAACAGAGGACGATTCATTTATACCGTCGATGGTGACGTGGTTTGGTGGAGATTGGCGTGGGGATTGGCGCGAACATTTCTGACAGTAGGATTTTGATTGACGGGTGAAGCGAACGATATTTTCTTTATGAGAGGTCTCCATGTCAAAGGTAACCGGATATCAGCTCTTTTATTGAGACAATTTGGCCTTTTTTCAATTTCTATGGCTTCTCGGATAATTCTTGGTTTATAGAAGCGAATGGGGGCTATGGTTCTGGAGTTTTCAAAATAAATTTTGTGACCTGTATGAAGATGGTGACAATGACAGAAAGAAAATATTTAGTCTGTGGGCTCGGTAGACTGAGACGTCGGAAGCCCTGAAGAAGACATCAAAGAGGATGTAGAAAGTTCGGCGCAATGATAATCGACGCGGTTCAACCCGGAAAAACTGTTGAGTTTAATATTAATTCCTGTAATAGTATTAATCTTAGCTCTAGATTTAATTGTACTAACTGCGGAAATCTTTCGCAAATCATGAAATGTCTAGTGAAGTTTGGTGTATATATATATATATATATATATTCTGACGGTCCACACGTCACTAGACATTTTATGAATTTTCGATATCATCTTGAATTATTTAGAACTACTTCTTTTTCATCGAAAGATAATACTAACCCCATAGAAATAAGTGATTCTGTGCCCTTTTTAAATTACGTTTTTTACGATTTTTTTTGTGGCTCTATATTAATATGTCTTTATTTTTAGCTAGAGGATCTAAGAGAAAATTGGACGATAACGAAATGACCACTAACGAACATACCAATAACACAACCGACAAAATCAATAAATAAAGTAAGAAAAAAGAAGAATATTCATATAATTTATTACGCACTTATTGTTATTCAGATATTTCATTTAATGTCTGAATTGGAAAAAAGTGGAAAACATATAAAGTGACTAGTTAAACCAATGATATAAAAAGGGCACATTGCATGACATTGTTAATTATATAACGATATGTACAAAATGGGTTTGAACACTAGAATATGTTTAAATATTGTATATCGTGATGTGTCATGACTTCTTTGGCATATCGCATTTTTGATAATTTTAGTGCTTCAACCTTCAGGCTGTGATGTTCGCTATTTTTTAAGTATTTTAAATTTAAATAATATTACGTGTAGTCGAACCACTGAGAGAATATCCATGCGACACGGACATGCATTATTTCTTTTCTAAAGTCCGTTGCACGTCATCAGTGAGATTTTTTTATTCAATTTACCGAAAAATCATTTGTTTGTTACTCAAAACCAATAATTTACATTATATAGCATTAACAGGTTGACTGCCAAGCTTATTTAGTACTATTTGCCATTATGTATTTGTGATCCATATTGGTACATAGCACTATTTGCCAACAGCAAAGGTTAGATTAATAATATAAGTAACAATAAAGTGTATGTGAACACATACCTAAATTGGATAAAAAGGCCAAAGAAAGTGTATTTATTGACAAAGAAATACTAAAATAAATAAAAAGTGCCTAAATTACCATATCAATTTGATACAAAGAAGCAATGTCATTACGAAATATGTAGAAGTGATATACACGCTGTAAATCAATTATAGGCAATATATATTATTTTATAAATTTTCTAAAGCCTTTATTTTTTTATAAACAATGATATTTCTTTATTAAATAAATATATTTAATAAATATTTTTCTATAAATTTATAAACCAATGACGTATGAGGTATTATATATATTATACGTCATTAATCAAAATTTTTAGCAATAAATCATCGAGTTAGAATAAACAAAATATGATTGAAATATCAGATTTATACAAATATTTTAAAATCAAAATTATTTAAGTCGATCCTGTATTTTTCGAATTGTTATAAAAAAGTTAAATGACGTCTTACGAAATCGATCTATAGTCTATCTCAAACCCTTCTTTCAGTGCGTCATAGTTGTTCGAATTCTCTCTGACGCATTAAGCTAGAAGTGACAGAAAAAAACGTGAGTCTGTGATTATTATACATAGAACTTAGAAAATTGGATATCGTTTACGGGTATTCGGATATTAAAGCGAATTTTACTTACGGATTTATAATTGGTTGGAGTTTGACACAGATTGTGACAGTGACCGTACTTTCACAATGTCAACTGATAAAATGATAATTGTCATTCCAGGTTAGTATTTTCAGACATTTTACCTACAGTGAAAATTTAATTTTGTATTTATTGTCATAAAAATATTTTAAATATTCCGAGATATACCGAGAATGAACAAAGACTAATATTAAAATTAATTAAATTATTTTCAATTAGAAAAAGAGACTGGGACAACTTTATTACCACTTTCTGTCATTCGCGAATCAGATTGTGAATTCAGGAATGATATTGAGGAAATATCTTAAACTAATACCGTTATGGATATTTATATGTATTAAAACGGTTCTTTTTAGAACCACGACATTTTCTTGAAATGTAAGATATAATTGATACCAGTCTCATATCTACTGTAATCATTGATTTTAATGAATCAAATTCGGAATCGGATTATAGATTTTTTGAAATATAATATTCATTTAACGTAATTATGAAAAAATCAACGTATGTTCACATAAGTGAATGCATAGCCAGGGTTTAGCGAATTTTTTTTATTGTTGAAAATAAATAAAGAACCATAAGGGTGATATTTTTAAGAAATATTAATAAAAACTGTCATAATAATTATTATGGGAACTTACAAAAACATGCAGAGTATAATTTGTTTATGGTAACCGACTTTAACTGCAAATTTCATAGGTGGGCCAACTGATATGGGACGGGGCTCGTATGACTTAAACATCCAACATAGTGTTGTGTCAATCGTTCATTTTACAAGGACCGAATCAATCAGTGACCGACTCTGAAAACGATCGAATCATTTCAATCGTTCGTTCCTTTCAATAATTTTCGTTGCCGTTTAAAACAAATAACAAGTAACCGATTGATTGAGCTGAATCGACTGAAAACCGGTAGTATTGCTTACCGTATTTCATATATGGGTTATTCACCTTCATTTTCCTTCATACGTTTATGTTAGTACGAGTAGGGCTTAGATTCTTAAAAAATATTCGAGAAGCTAAAATTTATTATGTTTTTGTCTTTAGGTTCTTAGTATAACTCGGAAATAATTATTTTATATGTAAATATGTGCTTCATCCAAATATAAATATTTATTGTCATTGTGCAAATTTTAATTTTGCGATATTTTATGATTTTAACTACCTAATAACTATTAACAACACAAGCGAAAGCAATCGCTTGAGCCCGATAGAATATTTTCCAACTCCAATAATCCCGGGCTGTAGCTACCTTGCACGCAAGTCTTAATTCAATAATGTAGTATTTTGATTTTTCAATAATTTAAACGAAGGCCGCATGGCATATATCGGTCTTCGTTGCGTTGCAAGTGAGGAACGACCGAGGACCGAAAGTAATGCGAGTATCGGCTGTGCCGATTGTGTTTTGGTTCGATCAGGATCGGCGCCGTCAGCGGTAGATCAATAGATTTTTTTCACCATACGATTGGATCGTTATGAACTAGCGGGATTCGGTCGTTCAGTACTTTGAAGTGATTGAATCAAAACAAACGAATCAATCGCGAGATTGATACAACACTACCAACATCAAATTGGATGACGTGCAACGTATTTAAGAAGAATTGACGAATACGATCATATTACACACCTTTTCTATGTAGCATCTTTTTTGTCAATATCAAACAAAAGCGATAGACTTTAAACGTTATCTAAATTTTTATATTTTTTTATAATAATTGTTATGTAGATAGCTCTCAGCGGTTTAACTATTTAGTTATTAATTTATGTACTCTAAATTTTCTTCCTTTTTGACTTTAACCCGCGATTTCTCGACCGTGAATATTTTTGTTTTAAGTTCTGTCACAACAAATTTTTTTTTCTGTTTTTCTTTTCACTTGTTACTTGTCAAAAAGGGAGGCAAAAGTATAGAATGGGGCATTAATAGTTTTATTGTTCTATTATTATTATTTACTGTCTGTTTAAAATATTGTCAATTTCAACTATTATTTGCTAATGCTAAATATTAATATACAATAAACGTAAATATTTATTTTATCTTTTTACCTATCAATTGTATTGAGCATATTTTGTTATAATAAAATTAATAATATTTTATTGTAGTTTTATTTAAAATATAACTAGTTTGAGATCAAATCCAATTAATGCAAAGTTGACCTTAAACGGTATCATGGGTGTAACGCAGCAGCTTGTTTCAAGGTGATGGATACGTACAGAAGCCTAATTGAATGACTGTGATGACATTTGTGAAATAAAATACGATGTAAATTAAATGAAGAAAAAAAATTGGCATGGTGTAAAATAGCACAAGAATGTACAAATAAATATAACGAGACAAATCACACAGTTACAGGTTTTCACCAAAATATCTTTTAAGTGATGAATCTACTTGTTACCAACTGAATTAAAACAGAAAAATGAAAAAATAAAAAATTTAGAACAAGATCGAAAAATAGCACAGAGATCAACAAGATATCAGTACAACAAATCTATATTTGATAAGAAGAGAATACAATATGAATTCAAATGAGGGGATCTAGTTTATGTAACCAATGGTAATAAATTAAACAGAAAACAATGGATGCAGTCTGAATTGGTCCATTTGAAATAATGGAGAAATGTGACTGATTCAGAATATCCTGGCTTGCTAACCTGAGAGCATGGTATAGAAAGACCTCAACACAGCTATTTCGTATAGCAACAACAAAGTCATCATAGCCAGAATGATCGCCAACGTTCGGAACGGACAGGCATCCTAAGAAGAAGAAGTCTGATTCAGTTTATAAAATAAACACAGAACATGGAAAAAGATCGATTGGTTTTTATCATATTACAAAGGTCATTCATATGTCTATTTATAGTGATATATCACAGTGCAATCAAAGTGTTAATATATTTTTTTTGTTGTGATCCGAATCACCTCGCAAATAGGAGTGAATAGAATCACTTTTAAAAATACGTGTCAGATCTTTCCTAACACTAGATGGCTCTTCTTCTTCTTAAAGTGTCTATCCGTTCCGGATGTTGGGCGATCATCACGGCTATCTTTACTTTGTTTACTGCAGCGCGGAACAGTTCAGTGGTAGTCGTATTGTACCACTTTCGTAAATTTTGAAGCCAGGAAATGCGTCTTCTTTTAGGTCCTCTCTTACCATTTACCTTCCTTTGGAGAAGACCGTAACGTTCTTGATTTCTCATTACATGTCCTAGATATTCCAACTTTTTAGTTTTGACGGTCATGAGATATTTCACAGTCTATCCCCATTCTACGCAGGACCTCACATTAGTAACTCTGTCAACCCAGGATATACGTAAGATGCGCCTATAACACCACATTTCGAAAGCTTCGAGTCGATTCATAGATGCAACAGTCAGTATCCACGCTTCCATTCCGTAGAGCAGAACTGTGAATATGTAGCAGTTCAATAGACGGCATTTTGTTTTTAATATATGTCTCGACTGTTGAAAATGGTTCTCATTCTAACGAATGCTGCTTTTGCTTTTATTATTCGCTGTTTAATTTCTGTTGAGTGGTCCCATTGGCTATTTAAATTGGTGCCTAGATATGTATATTGCTCGACTCTTTCGAGATTATGTTGGTTGATTGTAAGTTAAGCGTTTAAAATTGATTTTTTACTAATTGTCATAAATTTGGTTTTCTTTATGTTAAGAGCTAGTCCGTATCTGTTGCTGACTTCTGTTATGCGATTTGTTAATATCTGTAAGTCATTCAGATTATCGGCAAAAACTATACTGTCATCTGCATATCTAATGTTACTCAACCATTCACCGTTTATTAGTATTCCTTTCGCACCACCGTCTAAAGCTTCCTTAAATACCCATTCAGAATAAATATTGAACAACAATGGAGACAAAATACAGCCCTGTCGTACTCCACGTTATATTGCAATTTTATCAGTTAACTGGTCTTCTATTTTGATTTTGGCCGTTTGATTGTAGTAAATGTTTCTGATAATTCTAAGATCTTTGTTGTCAATTCCAATTTCTTGCATTAGAGTCATTAATTTGTCATGTTTTACTCTGTCAAATGCCTTCTGGTAATCTATAAAGCATACGTATATGTCACAATTCACATCCCTGCATCTCTGAAATAGCACCTGTACAGCAAAAAGGGCCTCCCGTGTTCCCAGAGCATCACGAAATCCGAATTGTGTTCTTGTTAGTTGTTCCTCACATTTTGTATATAATCTTTTGTGAATGACCTTTAGAAATATTTTAAGTAAATGCCTCATAGTCTCTATAGTCTTCGCACTTTCTCGCATTGGGTTTTTTTGGAAGATTTATAAAAGTTGACACTAACCATTATTGGGGAATTATGCTTGTATCATATATATTGTTAAATATATTTGTCAACCATTTTATGCCATCATAGTCCATAAGTTTTAAGAATTCTGAGTGAAAATTATCAGGGCCTACTGCTTTACCATCTTTGGTGCTTTTGATGGCATATTTTACTTCTTTGACTGTAAATGGTGGTCCAGATTCACAATTGGTGTTTGTTGTGATACCAGTAATACATCGTACATCTTCAAAAATTTTTTCCACGTATTTAATCCAAATATCCCTTTATGCTCTATTTCCAGTC